AAGTTTTTTGTCAAAAATTTTTTGTCTAGCAAGAATTAGTACATCACTCATATATAGACATGTGCGGGACCAGTCCCGGCCCCAGTCCCGGTCCCGGTCCCGGCCACCGGGACCGGGACCGGGACCAAAAAATAGAATTTTACCGGGACCACGACCGGGACCGGGACCAAAAAATAGAATTTTACTAGGACCGGGACCAGGATCGAAAAACAATTTAGTCCCGGTCATATTTGCCGTTGATAAGAAACATCGGTGGAAATAGAAGTGAGAACTGCTCCAGATCTAAAACCGGCAGATTCTGCAACAACTTCTCTGACTATGGACAAATAACAGAAAAAGTAAGGTTACTTAGACTGGGTGTAGAACAAAAACCAAATTTAACACATTCGACGCGATTCGGTTTTATTAAAGAGTAGCTCTAGAGATTCATTTTCGTATGCATTCATCTTGCGATAAATGCACTGCTTGGTCTGTTCATCCTATACTGATCTGTCGTTTTCTCTTTTCCATTTTTAATATCACATGTAGCGAAGTAACCATCGTGTAGTTTGGCGAAACTCCTGTGAGGTCATTTCAGCATGACACGCCATTCGAGAAGTTGCATCAGCAACCCAATTCAAGCGCGAATTCACTAATCGCAAGCTCGAAGAACAGGAAGGATTTAAGGGCAATGTCCGCAGACGCTGTACTGGCTGCTTTGCGAAAGGAAGGGCACAACAGTCAAGAGAAGTGAGCTATGCGGTAGCAAAGAAAGTAAAAATGTTCTGTTGTGAGTAACAATTCTTTTTGTCTTGATTTTTTTAACAAGACCCATCATGCTATGGAATAACGGACTCAAAAAGAGTTCTGAAGGCAGAGCAGATAAAGCATTATGTTCAGCCTCCTGTCTAAGAATAAAGAAAAATAAAGTACTTTTCTATACAGTTTCTCGTTAAAATGTAGCGTGGCTCACTGTTAGGCCACATCGTAGCGAATGTGTTAACTGAGCCCAGGACTAAAAAACAGAATTTCGCCGGAATCAGCAGCAAAAGGGAAATTTCCACCGGGACCGGGACCGGGACCGGGACCAAATGAAAATTTTCACCGGGACCCAAACCGGGACCAAAAAAAAATTTACCAGTACCGGGACCGCACCGGGACCAAAATTCAATTTCACCGGGACCGCGACCGGGACCGGGACCAAAAAAAGTTGGTCCCGCACATGTCTACTCATATACTAATTCTTGCTAGATAGAATTTTTTGATGAAAACTGCTAGCTACATAATGTTTCTATAGAATGATCAAGACCTTCAACATTTTTACATTTGAAGTCAAAATTTGTTTGACAAATGGTACTTTTCATCTCTTTCCTAACTAACTAAGTTGAAAAAGCTCAGAAAAGAACATTCCTCAAAACATAGTAGAAGGTACTTCTTCAGATTACGAACACTCCCTCATTCTCATACAATGCTATGCTAGCCAATTCAGTGGCGTAACCAAGGTAAAGAGGGCAAATAGGCGATTGCCCATTTCATTTGGAGATTTGCTGATTGGGACATTTGCACAAGTTAATTCTGGAAGTCTTTTTTTATTTGGACAGTCGAAAAAATGACAAATAATGACATGGAGGAAGGAGTTCAAAATCTAATGATTGTATATGTGTCTAAACTTATCAGTATTTTGTTGGCTCAAATAAATT